AAGTTCTTAGTATAAACTGCACTGCAGCATTGTCGAATATAACTGTTCTATTTACAGTTCAAAAGACAGTCAATGCAACTTTTGCAAAGCAATACAATTCATTTGTGCCTAGTTTCGATCAGTCTCATGAAGAAACGAGCTCACAAATATTTTATATGTGGCTTTCTTCAAGTGCACAAACATATATAACCCATACATATGACCACTATACAGAAGCACAATTTCAATTACAGGGTATAAACCAAACAGTGACCAATGATACCTATTCTATTAGCGCAGAAATAGCGTGTAATGGTCAAGTAATAAATGCTACGGGACATTTTTAAGACACTGGTAATAGATTGGGTTTCAAGTTGGCATTAACTCTATTTTTCTCCGTACGAAGCGGACTTATACAAAGGACCTTGGGTGTGGATGTTAGGATTGTCATCTGTATATATATATATACTATATAGATAAACAATCCTTCTTCTTTTGCTTTGTTTCCTTTTCTTACAGTTGGATGGTCGTTACTAATTGTACTGGAATTTCTATACTTTAACCGTTTACTTTTCTTTTTCTTATTCATTGATTGATTTTTCTCTTTTGCCGAAAAGTTCAGGTTCGTTATTCGATTTTTCTTTCCAAATAAAATTAAAAAAAGTTTAACAATAATATAGTAGTCGAGAGTGTGGGTGTGGGTGGGTGTGTGGGTGTGGGTATTCATGTGGGTTTGCGTGCGACGCTGTTACTTCTCTTCTCTTAACCAGCTCACACCGACACCCACACCCACAAAATGCAACTCTACTTGATTCTACTGGCTGTGATGAGTAAACAAGACCTTGTGGATCGGATGTTCTACAAGTGAGAAATTCCAATTGGACTCTTTCTATGAGCGGATTCTGGCCTGCTTTGTCAAATCTTTCGCTGTTTAAAAACCTAATTTTCTTTCAAATCGAACCAATGACCCATGGGCCGACTCGTGACGACTCAGTCCAGACTATCAAAAAGAATTTCGGTTCGGCTCAACCCAGCCCATGGTTTCTCGTTCAAAAATCTTCGGCCTATGGGCTCGGCTTGGTTGAACTTAGCTCAGCTGATTCGGAGCCCTGGCACAAATGGATAAAAAATACTTGAAATTTATTCTTGTATAAAGCCAAGTTTAAAATTAGGCGAGGCTTAAGCCTCAGAGCTTCAATGTCTACGCTGCCCTTGGTAAAAGACAAGATATTTGCCGAAAATAGCCAAGTTAATCACGAAACAACAACGTGCTGCCGGATGAACGATAACCACTTAGTGGGAAAATTTTTGTCCAGAGACGAAGCTTCGAGCTCAGAAGTAGCTTCACCAAAATGTTCAGAAGATACCAATGAATTTCTAGTAAACAGATTTCTTGATACGAATGCGTTCAGTGTCTCGAAATGACCATTCTTCTCTGTTTCTGCCTTCATCTCTGCTTGCCATTGATCAAATGAGACACTTACAATTTGAATTCCAATTTCTTTCATGGCTATGACGATATCTTCGAATGGGATTCCTTTCACTCTCTCCTTTCCTTTCTTGCCTCATCTGCATACTGCTCTACGCTATTATTATCCATTTCTATTAGCCCTCCTTTCCTTCTTTTTCTCTCTTCTCTTATTCGTCATTTCTTTATCATTTTTTCTGTGTTGTCAAATATGAAATATTATCAATATATTCTGCTTAGTCAGATGGTCTTAACTCTCATCATGGTAGGTATCGAATTACTGTGGATGCATACAATATTACTTGTAAGCACTTCCGAAAATAAGAATAGAGCAAAATAAAAATAACACGAGATTGTTAGAGAGTGATTCCAAGAACATTTTCCTGAATCACTCATACTTCGATATCTTTTCTTCCTTTCTCTCTCTTTTTCTCTCTATTCTGTGTTCTTCTCTTTGTTCTTCTTTCTCTTTTGCGATATTCATTACTTTCTTCGTAGATATCTATCGTGTTCTCTTCTTTGCTGTCTTTCTCTGATATCGTGTTATATATATCGATGTCGATCGTCAGATTCCTCTAGCGAGAGAAAATAGGCGAGAGAGCGAAGCATTTCGCTACACTAACAGAGATAAAGGAAGTAGATGAGCGTATCATTGAATATTTGAATATTTCCCACTATAAATATCAACAGTAGATAAGTAACCTGCATTATAGAAATAAGAAAGCTCTTTCAATGCATACACGATGCGGAGCGAGCTATTACTGTTTTTATATACTGCATAGTATCAAGGGGTGTCACATTTACTTTCTTTGTAAGTAAATTGTTTTCGACGTGATACTTTTTGCTCTTAAAGAACGAAAAACCAATGGATTTTATAGGTCTCGATGCGTGCTACAACTTTTGTTTGATAGAGGTGGTAGAAATTTTGCTTAGAATAAAATTATGAAGCTCACTTGGTGATAGAAACATTTACTTCTATTGTAAGTGTGCCATTAGTCTTATGAGTTTCATAACTCTCTTCGTAGACGGAATTCCTATCCATTTCCTGGAACAAAGTTCTAGAGCATGTTCAGGTCCTCAGGTTCTAATAGTTTGCTTGTTCTTTGATTCCAACAAAGTAACAAGTTGCAAACAGCTCTAATAATATTCCACAAGGAAAATTGTGATTAAAACCACGCTATTACGTAATGTAGTTAGTAGGAATTTCCCATATTGGAGCCATCTTGATCAAAAACACGGTACTTACGTAAGGAACCTTGATTTTTGATGATAGAGTATACAAAGTATCAAACAGAGCCATTACAGTGAAATCATAAAAGCATAGAATATGGTATCCCCAATCACTTTCTTGAATTCTGTTCAAATGATTTCTCACCTACTGAATTACTTTCATAGTGCCTTCGGAATGCAATGGAACTTGTTAAAGTTTACTACAAAGTCCCTCAATAGTTGAGACAAGCTTGATTTCTCTGCGTGAGCAAAATTTGCTGCAGGGTACCTATAAAAATACTGCGATTTGCAGCGGTATCGAATAGAGGATCTGACTCCCACTGTTCCTACAAATCGGTGCAAATCTTTGTTTGATTAATCGAGGCTTCCTACAGATCTTTTTTTTTCGTGATATAAAGGTGATTAGAGGATTCACTTTATTTTATGCGTCGATATCATAGTCCCGACTGATTACGTTGCATCAAAGAGTATAAAATGCTTTGTTCACTTCATATTAGTTTTAATTGAAATAAATGAAAACTACGTCGAAAAACCATTCACTTTATCCCCAACTATCACCAGTTAACACGCAATCATATCCCATGATATCTCAGCCAACTCCAGTTTATTTACAACCTCATCCTCCTAACCAACAGACAACGATTATTGTCCAACGGGAACACACAAGTGTTCAACACTGCTGCCACTTCTTACTCTGTTTAATATCAGGTGGATGCTGGATACCATGTTGGATAGGAGCTTGCTGTGGGTGTTGTAAGTAATTAACCTCGATTCTTTACTAGAATTCAAGTCATGATGAGAAATTCAAGAATATTTTTTGATATTTCAGGTTGTGAACGCCCCTGCTAGCTCGAAAACAGTATACAATTGGCAACAACAGGTTTATTTATTCACGAACTATAATACTTCTTCTAAAATTTATAACAATATATTTAGCACGAACAGAGAGGAGTGCTAAAGTATACCCGTGTGAAAATTATTCCCATTGAACAAGTTCGATAAAAATAATTTAATGGAATACGAAAGAAGTTCTCACGACAGTCATGTGTCCTTGCCTCTGCTATTCTCTGCTCTACATTATGCAATGTATTCATGTCTCACGAAAAAGAAATAGAAAAAATTCTCATAACATGATGTCAACAATAAATTTCTCACTTTTTTTGGAAGAACCGGTAGTACGGTATTACCCTTCAATACCGAATACCATGCCGTACCGCTACACTTGAGGGTGTGGGAATGAGTGTGGATGGACGGGTGCGAATGTAGACCTTTGTAATCCTTTCATACCCGCATCCACACGCACACCCACACCCTATCATACATAAGTTAAGAAAAAATAACAAATCTCTAGATTTTTATGTCTATACTTTGAATCTATAATTGAAAGTAATTTCAGTTCATTTTTTATTTCAAATTAAAACTTAATAGAATAGGCTTGGTATAGTAGGTGCGCTGAGCCTGTTGCCTCATCGAATCAAGTGCAGATTTCTAGATTTAACTCAGTAAAAAAAATATATATCATGAAGAGAGTGCTACCATGCCACCTTTGTAACGTTTTGTGTTAAGGTAATACATGCTTCGTTTAAAGATAAAACTAAAAAAATGCAGTTTGATAGAGAATTTTCTCTATCTACTAAGACCAAAGCTATTTAGAGCTCTGCCAACAGAAACAAACGAGTAACCATCGCACATTTGTTATGGTTTCACGTATTTCCTCTTTTTTTCTTCGACTGAGCATTCGTACTAGTACGATATGAGTATTCTCATCATATTAATTATGATCAGCATTAGTTCAAGAACAAATATGTCATGTTATTTTTTCATAGTCTCTTAACAGATAGAAAAACAAAATTCTACCAGAATTACTTTTGATTTTTAGTTTCATATTTTAGATCAATCGAAAAGTAAAATATTATTTCAAAAAAAAATTTGATTTTATTTGTTATCGTATCAACATGTCTGACGAGAAGTTCGAGTCATGGGTATGTATCTGCGGAAATATCGAACGCCACTGCTGTACGAATGAACAAATTTAGAATTCTCATTTTTTATTCATAGACCTGTGAACTTCATAATGATGTGAGTGTGAGAGTATAAGAAAAGAAAACTCCCACGCATACTCACAAGAAGCAATATATATATATACTGATGCATCATAGTTTTTCATCGCGAAATAAATATGTTTGCATATAAAGTTCAAAAACATGAAAAAAAGAATATTTCTCTATAGTCTTCAATCCATCTTTTCTCTGTAAAAGCATGTTTGTATTTGAATAGTTCACATTTTCTAGCTTTACTTATTCAATAATATGAATTTGTTTTCTCATGACCAGAAGTGTTTGATTGAGTTAATTAATTCTTTCTTGTATATTTCCGATGGTAGAACAAATAAGAAAAATGTTAACATTGTCGGAATGAACGATATAAGATATCCAATTAAATAGAACCAAGAATTTCGAGCTGTTTTCATACATCCAAATAAAAATGAAATAATTAGACGTGGTACACCAATTAGAACAAGTATAGATGGTGAAATAATTAAATGTTTATATTGTTGGATTTGTTCACGTAAAAGTTGTATGTAGGTGTGTTTTTGTTGAGTAGCCGAACGAATACGAGTTGAAAATATAATAATAATTATTGTTGATATAAAATTAATCGAGAATGGAATAGAAAAATGAAAAATATTCATGTACCAGTCATACATTTGTAATAAAGATGAAAATTTAGTCATACACCATGTACGTTGTTCGTCTAGATCATCGACAAGATAGCGATGCATTGGATCATGTATATGTGAAATAATATTGAACAGAAAAGTAATCCAAATTATCCATTTAGCATTTTGTTTACTTTTGACTTTATTGAAATGAATTCCTTGAAAAATATTTACTGCTCGTTCAACAGCTATCCAAGCACATAGCCAATCATTAATGCTGAGTAGACATCGAAGAAGAAAATCAATACACATACATTGAATATACATGAACATACGATTTTTTATTGAACCAATTTGTAACATTAAGAGCAACCAGACTTTAAATATTAATATACACAACATAATTATTGATGTGATGGAGGATACAAATAAATAGATACCACAGCCAACAGTTCGAGAATTTTTTCTTTGAAAAGTTAGAAATGAGAGAAGACTATTTATGATACCTAATATGAATATGAACACGGTTGCAGCAAGTACGATTTTGACAACGTATGGTTGTCTACTAATGTTAACATTAGGACGAATTTGATATCCAAATATTGTATCTAATGAAAGAATTGATCCTTTAGTTGAAAATTGACATCTTGAACCATAATAACAATCTTGACAAACGCACACTGTCGATGTTGGACATTTTGGAACATCTGAAAAACAATGACCTCCATTTTCACATAAATTATATCCTCGACAATCATAAGTCATATTATGATCGAATTCGAAACAATTACTTCGTCGAAAAACATCGCATAAACACAAATGAATATCGTCATAGAAACAAACAAGATCAAGTTGCGTTTGACATGGAATATGATAGTATTTAATGCGTCGTAATAAATGTTGATTAACAAGTGTTTTATTAAATAATTCATGAATAGAGAGACATCGATGAGATGGCATAATTTGCGTAGATATAACGGCTGAAACAATGATTTGTTCTCTGAGAATAATTAAATAATAATTATTGAATATTTCTGCAAAAGCGATATGAAATTGAATTAATGTATAAAGTGTCACTGTATGTTGATCCCATGAAATTTTTTTCATTATACTTGATCGGATTGGATGTGCTTGATTTGAAACTGTGATGAAATGCACAAGTAATGATGATGGACTTATTAATTCATTATGAAATGAAATATCAATTCGAGTCTGTTGATGTTCACATTGATTACCAAAATATTCTTCAGAACAAATACACATAGATTTGTTTATTTGTGTTGATATATAACGCTCATCACTAGGTACACATTGACCATTATTGATACATGGTTTCAATTGGCATGACGATTGATATAGATAACATCGAGAACCAAATCGTCCAAGAGGACAAACACAAATAGATCTATCAATACAAAGTGAATTATTTGCACAATCACACTTGTATTCTATATTACATTGAACACCTGACCATCCCGAGTTACATCGACAAAATTTTGAATTTTGATCATTGATATAATTGTAGCATTGACCATGAATACATGATTGTGTACATGTTTGAATTGGTTCGACATCTAAAATGGGTACTATGAGTAGAACCGATAGACGATGAACTGGTAGAAATGAAAATTCAAGTGGAAAAATCCAACTAGCTCGATATTTTAATGATAATTTATTGTATGCATGAATTCGAATAAAGTAATTTTTTGATATATTTTTTGGTCGAGTTGAATATAATAAATAGACATTAAATTTCGTATCACAATCTCGAATAGGTAAATATTCAATATGATCATGTGATTGAATGATTTCATTATCATCAATTAGAATTATAATAAAACTAAATACTTGACGCCAATCTGATGTAGCTCGTACTTGAATTGTAAGACTAACACGTTGATTTTGATATTGACATAAGTTTCCATAGTAACTCGGTGGACAAAAACAATACGTTTTATTATCAATATCATCCATTCTAATACGTATTGGAAGTCCACGATTACATTGCCATTTATCCACTAGACTAAGACTGACTAATGGATCAGTTCGAACTGATTGTGTTGTTGTTTGCATAGATGGTTCTGATGAAACTCGATCCGTTATGGATTGTTTTGAATAAATCGGCATGCTAACTAGTTTGAAGTAGGTGGCGTTTGATCGTTTCACAATCTCAAAATTATAACAAAAGAAACTTTCGACTTTATTTCGAAGGAATGATTCCAAACCATAACAAATTAAACGAGTAAAATTTCTATGGGGCGTACAAAATGTTTCATCGTCACCAAATGGGCATTGTGTATTTCGATCACAAAACTCGTCTGCTTTAATAAACTTTGAATCATTCCAACATTTGAACAGATACTGGAAACTACACACATCATCGTATATATTAAGATATCTTTCATCTGTCGCACCTATACAATGAATAATATTATCATCCACCTGATGGATTGGTAAACATGATACTTTAGATGTATCATTTGGAAAGACACAACTATGTTCATATTCAGAACAATTAGAAGATGGACAATTGATTTCATCAGCACCATTTTTACACAACCAAAATCGATCACATCTACTATAGGTATTGTTGCATAACCAAGAATCACATTCTGTTTCATCAGTTTGATATTGTCCATCGATAAGTACTGGTAATAAGTCTATTTTACCATCGCATATTGTTTGAAAATAAATATGTTTTTCTATTAATTTTTCTTCATGTCCACGTTCGTCTTCACCATTATCACAATCTATTTTTCCATTTTTTATGATTAATGGTGCTAAACATGTTCTATAGGATTCAATGGAACACGAAAAACGACGACCAACATCAGGCAAAGAGCAATTTTCAGTAAATGTTTCATCATCATTTAATGGACAATCTTGAATTCTATCAAGTAGACGATATTTTGAAATACATTTTGTTGAATTTTTACATTGATACATATTTGAATGATTGCAATAATGTGTTTCATTTAGTACTATTAAACATGTGCGAAATAGATTATTAATATTTTCCAAGAGCGAAAAAAATGTGTTCACTTTATTAAATTCTAATTCATGAAAATAACGACAAGATGAACTGTTCAAATCGATTGTAGCTGGAAGAAAATCTCGACAAAGTTTTTCATCATAGCATACATAAATAGGTAATGAGATATGATGGGGTTCTATAGTAAATTGACTACTATTGAACAAAAGTTGAACATGTCTAAATAAACTTAGAGTAGAAAAATTCAATAATGGTGAACAATATTCTTCGACACAATCGATTTCACTACAAAATTCTTGACACCACATATTGTCATAGGAATTATAAAATTCTATACGACAATGAGCAGCATTTGAACATGAATTATTAACCAGATTATTATCACGACCATTCTGACATGTTAAATCGAATTTTGTTGAACATTGTCCATCACCACATGGAAATTCATAGATTCCGGGTCGACATGTATGTTCTTCACATCGAAAAGTAGGATCACGGTGACAAAGATCAGGATAATACGCAACTCTAGGCTCATCTGTTCGATCTAAACAATCTGGATTGAGTGAAATATCATGAAAAAATTCTATTGGAATACATTGACCATTATGACATCGATATTCATTATCAGTACATTCATTCAGTTCAAGTTGCCAACAATGAAATTCGTCTGATCCATCAAGACAATCGATTTTTCTGTCACAAATTTCACGCCAATCCAAACATAATAATGATGTTTCACAAGTAGGAAGATATTTATAACAAGTTATTTTCGCACCAGTCTTAATTTGTGGTTTCGAATGAAAATAGATTGTAACAAATTCATTAAATGATTTTTCTGTAATTGAATCGAATGTAAAACGACAGTTAGGTCCGAACCATGGTATGGTACAGTTGTCAAAGAACATTTCTTTATAGGATAATGATATATTTGAAATATTTCTTAAAAATATTTCATAGCTTTCGGCTAGATTAATAGGTGCTGACCAAGAGAGCAACAGTTGACTACTAATATTTTTTAATTGTAATTCCTCGAACGTAATTCTTTTTTTAATTTCATCGTTTCTCATGATTAAATTCTCTAGTGAGTGTCGAAAACAATATGGAATAATCTGATGTATGTTTGCTGGTGGTTCTAAAGCATCATCAAACTGATCATTTACATAATATAAAAGGCAATATCCATCTTGATGATAATCATTATCATGAGTATAGTACATATTTAATTGATATTGTGCTAATATTTGCATCATCAGCCAAATATTCGAGATGATTTGTAGTAACATCTTTACAATATATAGTGTAGATGAAGAAAACAAATATACGAACAATATTTAATTTATTTCTAGAGTGACATTACTACTGAACAGGTGTATGAAGAAAAATGAATGAGCTCGTTCATAAATTAAAAGGGTAACATATGATCAAATACAAGTGTGAATTCTATCAGCACCTTATCTTATGTATATATGAGGATTGCTTTTTTCTGATCAAATATATCGTTGAGTATTTGACAGATGTAACATAAAATAATACTCAAAATTTTTTATAGACCTCTTTCCAATGGAAATGTAAGAATAAATATGTATAATAAAAGGAGGATTAGGACTAATTCACATTCAAATTCTATTTGAGTGCCTCAGTTTGGAACACATATTTAAAAAAAACCAAATTAGTTATATCTAAGTTGGTTTCGATTCAAAATTGTTTTAAGTAGTATTCAAGTTGCTCTCTTGATCAAACATATCGATGTGAATTAGTAGTGTCAAACTCGAAACTTGAATCCAATTGAATAGATCTTCGTGGAACGTCTCGCGCTTTCACACCGCGACACTCATATAAAAGGTCAATTAGACTGGGAAAAGCACTTACTCTCTCAGTGAACATTCGAAGAATTATTCAAGAGTTGAATTCAACTTTCAGGATTGACAAGTATCGCCACACCGACAAAAAATTTTCAAAGCTTGAAATTTCTATTGCATTCAAGTTTCAATTGTAACATGCATGGAAAGAATTAGGACTCTATTGAATGTTTAATTTCTTTGTAATGATAGCTGATCACTACTCTTCATATTTATTTCTATTGGAATATATTTCTCTGTGATTTTATATACGACTGTTATTCATTTATTGCTATTAGATAGAACTCAATTGGTTTTTTGTTAGTATTGTTTTGATTCTTCATTAAAACTTATTTAATAAAAAATCTATTATATTTTGATTTCTACTTTCATTATTATTAGTTTTCACATAGTTTTAATAAAATATATAAAAATCCAAAGAAAATGAATGAAAATGTCTGAAATATATTTCCATTGGATGTTACTTGTGTTGCTGAATAATCATGATAAGTAAGATATAATTGATTAATTGTTGTTGCAGGGGATGCATTAGTACAATATGGTACTGCACAATTATGCATTACAGCATAAACATCATTTTGAACAATTGAAGATTGTTCTGTTATATATTGTCGTTTAGCAGGATTAATTGCTGAATTAGATGTAGAACAAAAAAAAATTGTTTTTTAATAGAAAACTAAAAATTTTCAATTAATTTTACCTGGTTGTTCTGAAAGGAGCCATCCGAAAAGAGCAAGCATAGGTAGAAGAAGAAGAAGAAAAGTCAATATCCAACAATAAAGTGGACAACCATAGAATAATTCACAAAAATAGCATGATGGACATGATGAAGCAAGACGACCACGAGCACAACATTGACAATATCGATAAACAGAAGAGTTCTTAAATCAAAATAAAATTTGTTTATTCTTTTCTTTCTTATTTCATGAATGTATCAATTAACTAGACATCAGTGGAACCAACATCGAGATCATCTTGCCCATATCTACTATTAACTCTTTATTTTCAAATGACCATTGGTGTAAACATTAGTAAAAACTTCATTGAAAAATACCAAATTCTACTTTTAATTACATGACTGTTAAAACTAATTATTTTTTAAAATATTCTCATCTTTTCTTTTATTATATTAGCCAAAACACAAAACAAGATACTAATATTGTCTACTCTCCTATCTTCCAATCGTTCTAAGTATGTGAAGGAGACCAATACTGTATTTATTTGGTTATTGTATCAGTGACTCTTCTGAAATCTTCATTAAGGTTAGCAAGTTAATTTCTGAAGTCCTTTTTCTTTTAATATTCTAAGAACAAATACGTCCCTTTTTGTCTATATATCGAATCAAACATGATTGAATATTTTTGTCTTATCTACCCAAACATTACTACGTATGACATGGGTATGATATCCATTATTTAAACATTCATAAAATCTAAACAATCTATATCATAGAAATGAGAAGCCCTCAATTGATAGGAAAGGGTTCGCATTATACATGTTTCATTAGTTTTTGAATTGTACATAAGCTTTTAGAATGACGTCGTCTAACAAAACCACATTGGCACATTTGGTTTATCGATAACTATCAAAGTTGTCATACAGTTTGAAAACTCCAATTTATCAAAATCTTGTACATTCCTATACTTTTAAACGAATCAAATCATAGCTACAACACAAAAATGTCGACTTCAATTATAGTCTACCTTCAAACTTTTGAGTTGAAAAACAAATTGGAAGCCCAGTAGGCTACTATTCTGTGTATATGAAAGGAGTTACTAATTATTTTAGACGAAAGGAATGTATTGACAATCACATAGTGATTTTTATGATTGGCTCTGTTTATGTTGTATAGAACCAAATCAGGAAGGACATTGACATCATCCTTGAAAATTGTCATGAATAGACGAGTCTTCCAGATCTCAATTGAGTAAGCAAGAAACGTATGGAAATTGTCGGACTATGTATATTCTGCTCTTAATTGAAAAGATTTTCTTCACTTGAAATTATTTTTCAAATTGAATTTACATTAACTTTGTTTTTTTTCTAATTCAATTCTGAAAATAATCTTCATTTTGTTCAAACAATAATGATTAAAGTCGGAACCATTGTTCATAAAAAAAAACTCTTACTGATTGGTTAAGTAAAATTTCTGTATCAGGATAATATCTCGTTTGATACTTGTTAATTCGTTGAGGATAATTCAATAATGATTGTTTACTTGGGTGTGAATCGAGTACGACGACTAAAAAAATATTTTTTGAAATTTCTTCATTAATTTGTTTAAATGAAACAAAACTATTGAGAAAATAGCATAAAAATACAAACCATATGCTTGATAATTTACCTTGAGGCTCTGTACGAATTAATTTTGTATTTGTTGGGTATGTTTGTTGTGGATATTGAATATAAACAGGTGATGTATTTGATGGTTCTTGAATTACAGTTGTTGGTAGACGTACAACTTTAACAGGCGTTGTAACTTCTGTATTAGTTAAAGGACGAATTGTAGATGTAGCAGGATATATTTGACGTGGAATATTATTTTCAACCGGTCGATTATTATCAAAAAAAGCAGAATGTGGAGTTCTTGTTGGCTGAGCTACAGTTGATGAATTCCATGGAGGTTTTGAATTCAATTGATCTATATTTTTCATACTAGGTCGTTCATTAATAGGACCTGTTGTGATTGTTTCGATTGGTAATGAATTGTTAGGAACGTTATTTTGTGGACGTGATGGTGAAACTACATCAACACGACTTTGTCGTTCACGTACACGTTGTAATGATTGAAGAAGTGCAGCATTTGTCTGAATATATTGAATTTAAAAGATGAACATAATCAATACGAACAAAAAAAATACGACAAACTTACAGCTGGCGATGCTGTCATTGATGTTTTATAAAAAAACGATGATAATCATAGGCATATAATATAATATCAAAAGTGAAAAACTGTATATTATTTATAAGAAAAAAAAAGTCATTAGAAGAACAGCAGGATAGTGTAGATAGAGAATAAGTGGTTGATTTGTTTTAAATTTTATTTGAAGAAATAGCATAGAATGAATAAAAACACCGTATTTACAAAAAAACAAAATCATAAAATAAAAAATAGCTTTAAAAGAAGTTTAATGCAAAAAAAAGAATTAAGATGCTAAATTGAGAATCGTTATTCTAACTTCTATATTCAGACTTGAAAAGAATTCAAAATTCGAATACACGATTAAGAATATTTCAGAATTTTCTAAGATTTGATTTAATCATAATGAACAAAGAATTTCTTTCTGTACGATTCGTCTATCATCAAAATGTCAGAATCTGTTCTATAATTGCAAATGCTATGAAAATACTGTCTTTTATGTTATGTATCTGATTAATGATCAATATCCTATATATTGGACAAAATAGTACGATATGCATCTGTAATTATTAAAATATCTCATAGAAATCATTCCTTCAATCGAAGATACATATCAAAGTTCAACAAGTAAAACCTGATGAGAACACTGAAAAATAATTTTTCACTAGAGGACAGTCACATAATTATATTAATTAAATAATCAATAAATCACAAAACAAATGTTGAATAAAACATATATATATATATGTAAATATTCAGTAAAAAAATCAATGATAATTTAATTAATATTTAATTTAATAAAAAAAATTGAAAAAAAATGTTTAAAATGATGAGTATTATCGATGATATATGACATTGATTATTTGATTCAGATCTTGCTTCCCTAGGCATAATATCTGCTAATGTTCGAGTTATCATTGTTGGTAATTGTTTATTACAATTATCTGTATAACAACAATGAATCCTATGATTTGGTATATTTAGTTCTTCACAATCTTTAACTCCACGTAAAATTAATTTTTCTTCACCAGTTCTTGCATCAAAAGAATGATCACTCTAAATAAATGAAAATAAATATATATATATATATATGTCTTTCATTTATTCTATATTTATACTAGACACGCATGACCAACATCATAACCAGAAATTGCAACATTATTTTCATTACTTTCATCACCAGCGTCGAGGTCTAATGGTAAAGAACAGTAGTAGTCTGATCCAGCACATGTATAACACTGAATTGATGATGTATGTTCAATCAATCCTAAATAGAAAATAACTTGAGATCAATGAATACGAAAAATATTTTCTTACCAGAAAGAAAAAATATCATTATTATCATAATCATTATTTAACACTTGTTATCTTTCTTGAAAATGGTAAAATAGCAATTTTTCCTTGAATATATGTGAGAGAAATAATTTTTTTCTTCTGTTTCTTTTTTCATATAACCGAAGAAGAGGAAGAGGAAGAAGAAAAAGTATTATTTATTCTTTTGTTTTCCGATGTAGAATGCACTGTAACCTGTTTTATAAACATATATAACGATATGATCGGTCATAATTGAAGAAAATGTATATTTGCAAATAAGATCTATGTACTTTTTCTTCTATTAGAGAATTATTTATTTAAATTTATTTAGAACAATAATCAAATTTTAAAAGTTTTTCTTTAATACAGAGAAAAATTTTTTTTTTCTCTTTTCTTTTAATAAGCATATTATAAGAAGGAAACAATATTTTAAGTGTTCGAGGTCTCATTGAATTTTTCTCTATAGTGCTAAATTTGACCAATAAGAAATACTCATTCCATATTTGTGCTACCTTTGAAGAATTCTAATGTCTATATTGATTAAAAAAAAATACATTATCATATTTTTCTAAAGTATATGCAGCAGTTTCATTAAAAACCAAAAAAAAAAATTAGTTGTGTTAGTAAATATAGAGATTGTTTTTTTTGTCCTTGTGCCATTTCATTCACAGATATATCTTATTTTCTTTTCTCTTTTTCGTACTGATAAAGCAAATCTCTGACCTTTTGTTCTCGAGGATCAATATCATCAAGATTTTATAAAACATGATCGAAAAGGAATGCTGAAGAATAGGAATAGAAATTTGAATCCTACACACATGATAGACGTCTTTGCAATGATTCTCATCTCTCACAGATTATAAACAGATACATAAATAGTCGCGATCAAAACCTATATTGCTGAATTTCCTATTTTACAATATCAGTAGCTTCAAGGTGTTTCATATTTTAATCGCGCATAGATGTGACCTTTCTATATCGTTTATATGAAAGTTGACCGATCAACGTGTGAATACCAAGAGCGATTATCATAAAGAAGACGATTGTTCATAAACCTCTTTAATCAATATTCATCAAATGAATGTGTAATGAGAATAAGTTTTAACGGTCACAATTACAGAAAAAAGGAAGAACAGTTCAATACTTGGAAAAATTCTCTAATAATGCGCATTGATTTCTAAAAATGTTTTTTTTTTTCATATACTAATATACTTTAATTTAAAAATTTTGACGGAAATGAAATTTGAAAAAATATTGCATCCTTGATTTTTGATAAATTCTATAAGAAAAAGAAGTAGAGATCCTAGAGAGTGTCTAATATCTGTAAAAATAAATTGTAGCTCATATCCTTTAATAAAGAGTTCGTAGATATAGATGACATATTAAATGTTGATCAACTTAATTGTTTGTTTTATGATCATTTAAATATAGAAATTTTTAATATGATAAATGATATTTTGAATAAAGAACTTTCATTAAATAAAAGAAAAGATAAGAAAAAAAATGAAAGAAAGGCTATTATTTGGACATATAAAATTCTTTTCGTTCTTTCGAATGCTCAAAGGTCAATAAAAATGTTATTTTCATCGTTCTACTCGAACGCACATATATACATACAGGTTAACAAATGATAGTACATTGGTAAAGATGATTTTGAATACAATTGATTCCGATGCTCTTCGTCTTCAATCTCTTGGTTATAAACAAGAATTAAAACGAGATTTTACTCGTTTAACTAATTATGGAATATCATTGTCAGTTATTAGTATTACATCTGGTCTTACATCATTATTTTCATATGGTATGATAACAGGTGGTCCAGTTGTTATGATATGGGGATGGATTATTATTTGTTTTTTTACACTTTTTGTTGTTTTTGGTATGGCAGAAATATGTTCAGCTTATCCAACATCAGGTGGTCTCTATTATTGGACAGGTATACTTGTACCACAACGACATAAAGCATTATCAAGTTGGTTTACTGGATGGTTTAATTTAATTGGACAATTTTCTAGAACAGCTGCTATTGATTTTGGTCTTTCTATATTGATAGCAAGTGTTATTTCATTAAGTTTAAATTCACAATGGTCACCTGAATCATATCATATTATTCTTATACATTTAGTAATTATAATAAGTCATGGAATATGTAATTCATTAGGCATACGTTTTCTTTCATATTTAACATATATATCAACATGGTGGCAATTGTTAGCACCGATTATTGTTTCATTAGCGCTTCTTATTGGTGCTAAACCAGGTCATCAATCAATTAAATTTGTTTTTACAGAATTTAAAAATGAAACTGGATGGACAAATAAAGTAAATTAATTTTCTTTTTTTCTTTGTTATTTTCTTTTCTTTTTTGAAAGATTTATGTTATTTTAATTGGTCTTTTACAAGCTCAATATGTTCTTACAGGGTATAATGCATCAGCTCATATGACCGAAGAAACTAAAGAAGCTGATAAAGCTAGTCCATGGGGTATGATTAGTGCTATATTAGTATCGACTATTATTGGATGGCTTTTTCTTATTGCATTTTTTTTTGGTATACATGATTATGAAGCTACAATAAGAACATCGACTGGCTTTCCAATAATACAAATTTTACTTGATAATTTTAATAAAGAATTAACATTATTTTTTATGTGTTTACTTTTAATGGCATGTTGGTTTTGTGGTTTAGCATCAATAACAACAAATTCAAGAATGATTTATGCTTTTAGTCGTGATAACGCTATGGTAATTAGATAGATGTATAGACAATTTCATTTGTTAGCGAGACGTCAACTTGAAGGAAGAAAGTTCTCGTTCTTTAGATATAATTTGTGTCGTAAAGTCTATCTTGAAGATTTCGAATTGTTTTTTCTCGTATGATTAGAGAGATATTACCAAATTACTCCTTAATTGATTAATTTAAATGTATAGTTTTTTTCTTTATTACAGCCTGGTTCTTGTTGGTGGCATACAATTCATCCTCGTCTATTATGTCCACTTAATGCTGTTTGGTTATCATGTTTTATTGCATTTCTTCTTGCACTTCCTTACCTAGGTAATACAACTGCTTTTGTGGCTATTACAAGTCTATCTACAATTTGTTTATATATATCATATATTCTACCTATTGTATGTAAACTTCTTTATCCGAATGCATTTCTTCGTGGTCCATTTCATCTTGGAATATTTTCAACATTTATTAATATAATTGCACTTCTTTGGGTTTGTCTTATTATTGTTCTTTTTGTTCTTCCGCCAATTTATCCAGTTACTGGTGTAACAATGAACTATGCATCAGTTGGTGTTGGAAGTGTAATTATATGTGCTGGATTTGCTTATTTTTTATCCGCAAAATATTGGTTTCAAGGACCAATTACTAATTTAACTTTCAATAAAGAAAAATCTGATTTTATTATGAAACATTTTTAAACATCCATAAAATAAAAGTGTACATCACCAAAATTTTGAATTTTCAACAATACCATAGTATTCAATATAATGATTGTTGTTTTTACTAACCATCTGTTTTATTTTCACATACTCCATCCATTCTAGGCTGATGCGAAAACATCTATATGATAAGCATTGCTTTTTTTTTTTATAAAAAACGAACCATCCCTATAAATAGAAAGAAAAATTATTACTTTTAAAGGAACCATTGAAAATCGATTGTATTGATTGAATACATGATTATGATGTTAGGTTTACTCTATATCTTAGCATGTTGTTTCGTGTCCATTCATGGTCATGGTTATCTATTAGATCCAGTAGCTCGTAGTTCAGCTTGGCTTGTCGATCAATCATTTAAACAATGTTGTACTTATCCTAATCATATGGAAATGTTTTGTGGTGGTACTCAACATCAATGGAATGTTCATGGTTGGTTAATTTTAGAATTTTGAATCATTTAGATCAAGTTTGTATCTATATCGTAGGAGGTAAATGTGGTATCTGTGGTGAATCATACGATAGACCAGTTAAAGTATTTGAAAAAGGTGGAGCTATGTATACAGGTAAAATTGTCAAGACATATAATCAAGGACAACAAATCGATGTAACTGTAGTTGTAAGTTTTCTTTTTTAACACATATAAAATTAAGCTTTTGAGTCTTATTTTGTAATAGTTAACAGCTAATCATAAAGGTTATTTTGAATTTCGTTTATGTAATTTGGATAATAATCCAAATTCTGATGCAACACAAGAATGTCTTGATCGTCGTCTATTGAAAATTGCTGGTACAGATTCAACTAAATTTCGTGATGTTGATAAATATGGTTCACAAGCAATTACTGTTCGTGTTCAACTTCCATCGGATGTTGCTTGTCGACATTGTGTTTTTCAATGGAAATATACAACAGGAAATAGTTGGGGTACAGATCCTGTAACGGGTCAATCAGGTCTTGGAATGGGCATTGAGAATGAAACATTTATGGGTTGTTCAGATATTTCGATTGTTAGTAATGGTTCACCTACTCAAACAGAACCACCTATAGTCGTACCAACAGAGTAAATTAAAAGTCATATGTTTCTATGTATACGAAACAAAACAAAGTTCACTTTTATTTTAGAGGTCCGCCAACAACTGCTCGACCATCACCACCACCACAACCAACAACAACAAATGCTCCACCACCAAGTGGTTCAACTACTTGGTCATCTAATGGTGTTCAGTATAAAACTGGTGATATAGTATTATATCAAGGCGCAAAGTTTCAATGTATCCATGATCATACATCGTTTCTAGGAGCTGAACCAGGCATTCTTACTTGGGCTTGGTGGAAACCTATAAACTAAATGTTGATCTTGTTATGGAAAAGAATTCTGTAAACAAGGAAATGTTTTTTCGAATATGAAAGAATCTATTCTAATAAATACAACAGTAAAATGAAGAAATTTTTTGTGGGTATGGGTATGAGCCTTCAGTTCAACCACATCCACACACACATTCAGTTGTGTGAAACAATCTCCGATTATTTGTTTATTTTCTAAATCGAAAACGCACACTTCATTATTTTGCAATTGACTTCTACGATGATAAAATTAACTTTATTCTAAAGTAAAAAAAAAGATTGATATATAGGCGGTTGTGGGTGAGTGGTGGTGTTAATTATTTATTATTGTTAGTAATTAAAAGGCCGAAAAATGAATAAGCGCTGGATATTAGCTGACTTTTTTCAAAAATACACATATCGATGATGTTGTTTTTCAATATTCTATAGAGTAAAATTCGGTATGCAATCATAGTTAATTTAACAACTCTCTTCTCTTTAGTTTGATTGACATGTCAGGAAGTTTTATGTCTGAAGAGCTTCGTTCTTCAAATAATTATCACCAGTGTATTTACCTTTGGCAGCAAACATTTTACAGCATTGTTGTAACTTGTATTTTCAGAAATAGTGCCAGTTGCATAGACGTAAGCAGTGTTCAAAGACTTGAGCCTTAGTTAAATATTTTTCTTGTTGAAAAAGCAGAGAAAACACTTAGAAACTAGTCGTCATTTTAGGCGCTAGTGAGGTGTATTAGTGTGGATGTGAGTCATACCCATATCCGTGGATCGCTGTAAGTGATTAGCGGCTTGCTTTCTTTCCAGAAGTATGCAGTTCAAAGGCAAAATAAGTACTATCTATCATAATTTCGATTGTGTGTAAGCAATTGAGATAAGCTGGTAGCTCTGGTCTACATTTTCCCAATTAAGAGGTTTGCATTAAAATGAAAAAAATGAGAACAGTCAATAGATAATTTCATGTTCTGTCAGTTTCTATAAAAAGACTTTTTTTCTTGGCGCTTATCTTTACTCATTTTGAGTGTTTTTGAATCTGAACTTGTAGAAAATATAACTTCCTTTAAAATAAGATGTTTTTCCAACTTTCTAGCCTCTAATTATACTCAAATATGATCAAAATATGATGGGATTTGAAACATTTCATTTTTTTCGTCTGTTTTGCTTATTTTTAATAAAATCCAGTTTTGGAGATAACAATAAAAATATTTTTTATAGGTAAAAGCAGTTCATGTCGCATTATTAACAACGATGAAAATAAAATCTGACAGAAATTTCAGATATTGTCAATTCATACTTGTACCATTAGGTGATATATTAATGAAATATGTTTATATAGATTTTGAAAATCCAAAAGATTATTCAAGTAATGCTTTATTACTTTCTTTATGTATTTTGCTAAAATTTCTTGCGGTTACTGGTTTCGGTTTGATTTTGCGTGTTCTCACTGATCGATGAGTATTTTTTTTATAGATCAGCTATATTTTACTATTATGATCATCTTGATGTGCTTATGAAGAAGGTTTTTTCTTACCTTGGTGAAATTCTGTAAATTTATCTTTAATTTCTAGATAACATGGTATCAAAAAGTTCTGACATTATTAATAAAAAACCATGATTTTCATCTAGTAACAAACGAGATTGTACAACAAATATCTGAAGTATAACAAAATCGAATTGATTTATTGAATTTATATATTCAACGTACAAGAGTATTATTATCGATTAATGAAAATGCTATGCCTGATGTACATGTTGATATGGAAATAATATTTAATATACTTGTACCGGAAGATAATTCTTATGAACGTTCAAATGAAGGTAAAGATGATATATCAACAGATGCAAAATGTTCATTATTCGGTTCATTAATTACTAGGCCTATTACATCAAGATGTTTGATTATTGGTACTTGGGAAATTAAAAGGAATTTCGTCGAAAATTTAATGCGAGCAAACTGAAAATTTTTTTTGTTATTGTTGAGTTCTTTTTATAGATGACTGAAGTAGAAAATAAGATTAATCATTTAGTTGATGACCTATCGACAGAAGGGAATGGTACGAATGAAGAAACATGTGATAGCCAATTAGAAGGACCAGATACACTTTTATGCTATCGTGCAACACGTTAAAGAGATTTTAAATTTTATGCCGACCGTCTTATACATTTAACCGTTCAAAAAACAAGAATTATATGAATTCAATCTAAATTCGATGGTCTTGTTGTCAAGTTATCGAAGATTTATGAATACACGAAAATAAGAGTAAAGAAATTTTGAAATTATCTTTCTTTGAAAAAAAAATTAAAAAAAAAGATGAAGATACAAAACTAATTCAATAATATCTTTAATGCAGGGTGTGGGTATGAGTTTGAGAAAACTGAAGATACCCATCCAAACCACGTTCCACCCACAGTCTGCTCTTTTGTGTCTATTGAAACAATGATTTCTACTAAAGATCTATCGAACTGCAGAGAAATGAGTTTGCGATGTAAATGCTTTTCCTTTGTGCCCAAGTTCTACGAAACAAGAGACTTTGAAAACTTTTTAAGTTCTTGAACGTATTAAAGGATTAGCTTTTTTTGTAAAATAACATGAGGGTGTGGGGGTGGGGGTGGGGGTGGGTTGGGTGTGAGTATGAATGAAGGAAAGATTAACACCCACACCCATACCCAACATTGGTTTGTGTTATGTAATAAATTTTACGACTTCTTGGATGCACATATATAAATAAGAGAAGATCTTAGAAACTGCCGATGGACAGCGAATATCTTCGTCTGAATGTCTGTGAACGTACTTACCAAGAGTTTGAGTTTTTTTAAATGTACAGTGCAATCTGTAAGTCATTTGCTGTACACCGATCCTCTTTTTCCCAACTGAGAACAAGACGATGTGAAATTTTTTTATTTGTATGTATTTCATCCGTCAAAATAGTATTGGATTGGTTCAAATAAAAACTAGTCGATTTCTAAGAAAAACACTTTTTTGCATTACCACGGCAACAAACACTGTTTTCTCTTATTTCTTTTCTTTCTTTAAAAATAACATGGTTGAATGTTGGCATTGATCAGAATTCTGGAATTCCCTATGATGAAGAACAACACATGCGTTGCAATGACAACGACAATAAATAAATAAAAATAAAACGCTCTTGTCTCATTCTCCTTGCAGTATAAAGATATTTTTTCTCCTCTTGTCTAGAAGAAAAAAATAAAATTTTTTCTCAGTGCAAGAGTGTTGAAGGGATGTTCATCGGATTGCTTAGTACGACTAACGTTCTACTATGTAAACTAGATGCATTTTTTCAGTGTATAGCAATATAGAGAGCAGAGAAACAACCGGTTTCATTGGTTATAGGTATATTACTGCATGATTAATAAAAGGAAGGCAATCATTCCATTAATTGATTGCTTCTTCTTCAAAAACAAACAACCACCACATACTGAATTATTTTTATCTGATGAATCTCTCTTGTGAAGTGCGAATGTATCCTGTAAGGATGTGCACTAGACGTGGATGTGGGAGCACTTTTCATCTTCATCATAGACCCACACTCCACACCCACACCCTAAGGGTACACAGTCCTTCTGAAAAGAACTGATAACTGTATTAGTTCCCAAACTGTCACAGGTTTAGTGGGGTGCGGGTTTCGGGTATGGGTGTTTTCCTTGTACCAGAAATAATCACATTCACACCCACTTCCGTTTAAGAAGTTCATTTATTCTTATGAATGGTTTATGAAATCGCTTACGAAGATTTTACAGACGGTAAAAAGGTATTTTTTTATAGACCGCAATTTCTTCAACCTTTTAAGTGTTTATAATTCCAGTCTTTTTTTACAGTTCTATATGGGATCAAAATGCTCTGATGAACTCCACCGATGAATTTTAAGAGAAGCCTATCAGTTGCACAGCTTCCTCATTTTTTCACATCTTCTTTTCAAATCAAGTACACTGAAATGTATTTATTTCACTGCAATGTTTGACTAAGAGATGAACGGAAGCACATTTTTTTGTGTATCTTTTTTGGGTTCATCAAATAAGAAGGAACGATTGTTTTATTTTTTTTTTTAGATTCTTTTAAAGATGGGGAACGCAAATGATCGTATAACATTGGGTCAAATCATCGTCAGAAATCGTCTTAAACACGATATAACCAACGTCCGAGTTAAATATGGAGCTGGAAACAAGGCACAAAATCATACCATCATTGGTATTGAATACTGGTTCAATTGGTTAACAATTGATTTAGAAAATAGAACACATATTATGTTTCTACACGAACAACTTATGGGTAATATAAATGCGCGGCAAGAAGCCATCAGAGAAGGATTTGATGCAAGCATATATTATCGTGGTTATTGGCAAATATACTTTGAAATCAATGGTATCCAATATAAAATCAACAAAAAAAAATGCACAAGTGAATGTTTATGCACTGGATAACATTGGTGATATGGAAATAACATTGTTACAGGAAGGTGAATATATTAGAGCCGATTTTAAATTGCCATCTGGAAATGCGTATTTTTATGTGCAACAATAGACATTGTTCCGGTACACTGGATGTTTTTAATGCGAACAGTTCTTGAAACATTCGAGGAGTTTCCTTTTTTCTCAACAATTTGTATGTGAACATATAGGGCGTGGCTGAAGACGAAAAAGACAACATGATCTAAACCCTTCTTCGTGTGATGAGCTTATACTCAATTCAGAAACGAAACGACAATAGTTTTTAATAAATCGACAGAAATATGGGCATATTACTGCCTGAAAAATAAGATATCTAATAAAAGTGAATGTGCTTGGTTCAAATCACGTGAACACATATAGGACTCGATAATAAAAACTAGTCTGAAAGAGCACCATATCTGTTTTTATAGCACTCATCAGTACCGATCTGTTCATCTGTTAGAAATAAATAAATTCATATTTCGTAACTAGAGGATTACTTTGAATATTTTCACCGTAATTAAAATATAGCTCGTTTCAGTTCTAAATCTTCTGAAAACTTTTATGTGAAAGTTATCCGAAAAGAGTGTGAATGTGGGATTTTGGTGTGGATCTTCTCTTCATTCACCTCCACACCCACCCACACACCCACACCTACACACATCCACCCACACCCACGTCCACTCACACACCCACACCACCACCCACACCCACACCCACACCCACACCCTCAGGAGAAAGCTTCAGCGGACAAACATGAGGGTGTGGGCGTACTTGGGTCCAACATTTACATCTACCCCCACACACCGAATGAACTAGTTTCATTGAGAGTAGCAGTTGCGCAAAGTGTGAAGTTCAACATCAAAGGTCAACTGTCAACGAAACCGAAATTAGATTGCGGAGTTTTGCTGAAAAATTCAATAAAAATAAATCTATCGTATAGAAATCTGATAACTAAAAGAGGCTAAATAAGCATAGATAGTTAGCATCAAGTACAACGTAAAATTGCATGAAATACTAAACAACTAGTTACAGTAATTGTAAAGAATGCTTCTGTTTTTTTACGTAATCGACACCTAGATCTTACGTTCAGCTTTTTCTTCGAAAAAAATATACATGAGGTTCATAAAATCTACTTGTTAACAAATTTATCATTTATTGTTGTAGATACTACCCCTTTCTATAATGCATGTCGAAGTAATGATATTAGTTTAGTTAAAACATATTTGCAAACAATATCATTAGCAGAAATTAATAAATTAGAACCAAATGGCTCTACCGCACTTCATGTAGTATCGTATCGTGGGCATGAGGAAATTGTTGAATTATTACTACGAAAAGGTGCTTGTTGTACAACAATAAATAAATTTAACTGTACGCCATTGGATGAAGGTAAAACTGATAAAATAAGGCAGATGATACGTCGTCGTATGAATAAAACTCGTTTTGTTAGTGAATCCATCGAATGGATTCTGCAGACAGATCAGGCAGATTTTAAAGCATATCAATATTGGACAAAATTGGGAACATATGGACAAGATCCACAATTTTATGAATTGATTGACTATATAAAAAGAAACTATCTTGAAAAAGATTTACAACGTATTGAAGATATTGACACAGTTGTAAAATATTTTAATCTCACAATCAACACAAGAGATCCCTTTTATTTATTACAAGCCTATACAGCTGAAACTGGTTTCTATTCTACGCTTAATGTTCATCTAACTCAATTACATCTAGAAAATTTAACTGATAAGGAAAATCTTAGTAAAATATATTATCTTGGAATAATTGCTCGTCATCCGAAACATTGTGGTATACAGGGAAAGCATATCGTGGTATGATGATCACTAATAATGATTTAAAACAATACAAGATAGGTACACGAATATTAACTAAAACATTTTCATCTTCGTCAAAGCAATGGGATATAGCATCAAAATTTCTTGATGATGACCGTCATAAAGGTGGTCAATTAAGTACAATATGTGTGTATGAAATACGTAATCAAAAAACTGCATTAGATATTCAAGATATATCATTATTTCCTTATGAAGAAGAAGTTTTAATTTTACCTTATTCAGCATTTAAAATAATTGATATTCGAATAGATAACGACAAATCACCTAACGTTGAAATAAAACTAAAAGAATGTGAGCCATGGTAAATGTTCACGATGATTAGAACTTAGATTTTACTATGATTTACTTCCTTATTATAACATGATAAATAAAATAAAATGAGAATAAATGAAAAAAAAAACTACATTCATTCTATTGCGTTTGACAGAAATTACAAAATATAGTGTTGATTTGAGTCTGTGGTGTAGGGGTAGTAGTGCAAGTGCGTATCATCACAAGACACCCACACCATGTCTACGCGCACAGCCAGATACCCATATCCACATTCACCCTACTTCCTGTAATTCATAAAGTAAAGTTTATTTTAGCTGTTTCCTTTTTGTTTTCCAAAAGATCAAAACTTTGTACGACTAATTTTTGACGCTGCGAAAATATCATTGTTTTCTACACTAATGAGAAGTTTCCTTTTTTTCTTATTTTATCCTTTTATCACTTAATACATTTTCTTAAAAAAGACATACTATGCTCTCGAAAAAAAACATCCGTCTTCCGGAAAACTCTTAGAGGGTTTCCGATTTTGTTACTATCTGATGAGAATCTTATGGTGTGTGATAGTTTCAAGTTTCATTGACATGTTGTAGTGGCGAACAGTAGGATGCGAACGAACAAAGAAAATGTAAGCTACGAGTGGTAAAAGGAAAGAAAAAGAAATAAGAATAAGCCTAGAAAGACGATTTGCTTCTCTTGTACTGTATTTACACATACGAGTTAATCGAGCAAAGAAGTAATCGTATATTTTGTGAAAGAAAAAAAAATACATATCCACTTATATTTTCTTTTGCTATTCTTTCTCATTTTCTTCTCTCCATTCTCTATACTGTTTCTCATTTGAGACGTTAAAGTAAGATCAGTATAAACAATGACTGCATCTACAATATCGGGCAAATGTCTGTGTGGTCAAATATCTGTCTCTGTTTCACAAGATGCATTCAATAAAACTGAGAATATAGGTATATGTTATTGTAAAAATTGTCGTCAAAGTGGTGGCTGTTTAGCATCGTATAATCTCTATTTATCAGAAGGAGATGTTAAAATACAAGGTCAACCAAAATTATATCAAGATCCAAATACAGACAGTGGCACAACAGTAGAACGTGCATTCTGCAGTAATTGTGGTTCACCGGTATATGGAAAAAATCCACAATTTATCGGTTTAATAGCAGTGAGATTGGGTCTATTCGATCAATTACCAAAACCTGGTATGGCACTCTACTGTAAAAATCGTCCAGACTGGAATAAAGCAACAATTGATGGTATACAAGAACATGAAGCTATGCCAAAACTCACAGAAGATTTGAAAAAGTGGTTGCAAGAAAAGGGTGTAGCTATTTAGTCTATAATTTACAAGTTCAATTTCCAAAGTAGGGTGTCGATGTAGGTGTGTGAGTATAGATGAAGAAATAACATACGGACACCCTTCAAATAAATAAAATTATTCTAAATCATTATTGAACTTAAAATAACTTTTATTAGTAGAAGAATGACTATGTTGAAATTGTTCATATGTATTCTTTGATTGATAAAAATTTGTTAATCTATTATCTATTTTCTACGAAATATAATTAACAAATTTCATAAATGTTTTATGAAAATAATTAAATTTTCATTCAAAAAACAAATAATTTTCTTTTAAACTTGAACAAACTTTTGAACAAAGTATATGTTTCTTTTTTTATTGCAAATGATTAACAAGTGAATCTTGTTCATGAAGTAAAAGTCTTTTCACATACATCTATAACACTAAGAGATTGATCAACAAAAAAAGGTCTTCTCTCTCCCTATACTTTTATTTATGATTATGAAATCATTTTTCACATTCTATTGCGATTAACCTTACATATTTATTGTTGAAGATAACAATTCAATATAACCAATAATATTTTGATTGATATTTATCTTTCTCAATAGGTTTTCATGAAAGAAAAACAAATTTCTCTTTTTTCTTAAATGAGTTCGTGTAAAAACAAATAGTACGTTGGATTAATTGAAAGACTTTTCTAATTTAATATATAATAAATGTAATAATTATTTCCTATATTCACAATAAGAACTTAATTTCAGTTCGACAATACATATAAGTCTTTAAATAAAAAGTGAATGTATAATGAAGTCTTTTCTTTCATTTAAACACAATGAATAATAAAATTTTAATCAAAAAAATAAAATGATCATTTCATTAATATATACATATATATAATACTTATAGTTAGCTAATTTATGGAAAAAAGAACAACAGACAGCTCATACAATGATATTCATCCTTGGATATGTTTTTCATGACAATCAAATTCTGCACTATAAAATTCATTCTTGAGTCCTGCTAATTTTAATCAAGAACGGTGTTTAAGTTTTCGACCTAAAACTAATAACTAAGGTGCGTCCGAGAACAAACAAAACAAGATATTGCTATATTTTCAATAACTTGACAACAGAAACAGTTGCAAAAGGCGAGCTCTATCAAATATCTTTTTATTTGATACTATGTACTATAAGATGATTTTAAAAACAGATCGTTTTCGTAAAAGATTGAAAAACATACAAAAAAAAACGATGTTTCATTTTGATGTAATGATAAAATAATTTTCTTGTCGTTGAATAATTTTCAATTTCTTATTTGATTTCAACAAAGAAATAATTTCATATTGTCTTGTTGATAAAAAATTTTAATGTTTATTTTATATCTGTTTCATGTAGATCGATCTACAATGAAACGAAGACATGTTGATTTGCCATGACGATATATACATTTTGTACATTCTGGAAAAAAAACTATCTTTGCTTATATAAATATTAGAAACAAAATATGTTAGTCAAATTTAGCATACGAAACATCAAATATGAGCAGTACTAGACAGGAATATTTTCCAAATGATTTTACAAAATTATTAGATAGTAGTAAGAAATGTAAAAACATCTGAAAGACATTTAAAAAATTTACGTAAGAACAAAAATTAATGAAATTAATAATGCTTATGAAAATATGCTACTGACCGGTGTTTTCGGATTGTTACAATAGTCTGTTTGATTGTACGAATAAAAAGTAGACAGAATTGTGACTGAATGTCATTCAATGAAGTCATACAAGATGCTATTTGTGAAAGAACATCATAAAGAGGATTCTCAAGGTTTAGTTGAAATTGCATCACTTTAATACTAATGTTAAAAGAAAAGTCAACAGTTAAAAGAATTTTGTTTTTTTTTGGGTGTGGTCCTAATTCGTTTTTGAAACATCGATCAATGATAGATACTTGATTGATGATAAAATACAATACAATAGTCATTTATACTTTAGTTCGTTGTTGTTTAAGTTTTCTTATGAAAAGAAATTATTCAACCAACGTATATTTCTATTATAGATGAAACATCAGATTCACAATATTTTTTTCACTTTTCCTTATTTGAAATTCAATTTCAAAAAGAATAGAGACTTCAAATAGAAAAAGTAACTATAGCTTCTATTAATAGACGATGAAAACTATTATAGACAATTATAGTTTTTTTGTTTGATGATTTTTCACTAGAGAAAGGAATATATGCAGACTTCGAGGGAAAGATTTTCTCTATCGAGTAATGCATGCATTATTAGATAAGGAGCGTCTTTTTTTTTACAATCCAACGTATTCATCGTTCCGTAGTCAAACTATTGTAGTCACCTTCTCTTATTCAATTATCTATTTTTTTATGATTTAAAAACAAACATAAAATCGAAGTTGACCAAGCTTATCATCACTAAAAGATCAATTTCAAAATGTTCAAAGTAGCAGATTATTTGCGGAAGAGATTGTCTCATCGTTTGATAATGTTCTCGACAAATAATACTTCAACAAGTATTATTTTCGTCTTATCTTGTATTTAAATTTCATTCTCATAAATGTATTTCATATCTTATGATTCAATCTTCGAATACATTAAATAATGATTTCATAATATTGAATATTACGACCAGTATGTTATTCGTCATCGATTGAAATTGATATCACACTTGATTTTGAATGTATACGTCGTTATACGCAAATATTATGTGATATCAAATGTTAATGTTTAATAGGATTATTTATACAAAATGATTTGGTCCTGCATTCAAACCATTTGATTGTTTGATTCAATGATTGTCAACATGTTAAATCTTTTCGTTTTATTTTCATTTTGTCTAATATCAATTAATGGTCATGGTTATTTATTTGAACCAGTTGCACGTAGTTCAGCTTGGCTTGTTGATCCATCATTTAAAAAATGTTGTACTTATTCTGGTCATATGGAAATGTTTTGTGGTGGTGTTGGACATCAATGGAATACGAATGGTTAGTAACTTCTTTTTTTTTTTTTATTATGACAATTTGAATCTTCTATATAGGAGGTAAATGTGGTATCTGTGGTGAACCATATGATAGAGCAGTTAAATTATTTGAAAAAGGTGGAGCGATGTACACAGGTAAAATCGTACAAACATATATTCAAGGACAACAAATTGATGTTAAAGTCAAAGTAAATAATAAAAATTAATACAAAAAAATTTATTTAATTATTTGTCTTGTAGTTATCGGCAAATCATCACGGTTATTTTGAATTTCGTTTATGTAATATAGATGATAATTCAAATTCTGATGCAACACAAGAATGTCTTGATCATCATTTATTAACTATTGCTAATACAGATTCAACAAAATATCGTGATATTGCTAAACATGGTTCTGAAATGATTACTGTTCGTATTCAACTTCCATTAGATATTGCTTGTCAACATTGTGTTTTTCAATGGAAATATACAACAGGAAATAATTGGGGTCGAGATCCTACTACTAATAAATCAGGTCCTGGTTTAGGAAGAGAAAATGAAACATTTATGGGTTGTTCTGATATAACAATTTTGGCTAATAGTCCAACTACTACTCTTCCACCAATTATTATTAGTCCTACAACGTAAGTCGATTAATCTTATTTACTTGCTATGAATTATAATATTTCTATAGTACTATGACAACAACAAGCAGTTCAACATCAAAATATCGTTCAGTACTATCACCAAAACATTGGTCAATATTATCAACAACAACAACAACAACAACGACGATGACTATGGCTACTACTAATTTATCCTCATGGTCATCATTATTAATTGCTTATCAAAGAGGTGATGATGTCATGTATAATGGTATAAAATATCGATGTGTTACTTCTCATCGTTCATATGCAGGTGCCGAACCAAGTCCTCTTACGTGGGCTTTATGGCGAAAAATTGAATAACTATGAATAACTGATAGAAAACCTTTTTTCTTTTTTGTAATGCAAATATACTTTATTTGTCAAGTAAAAAGAAGATCAAACAAAACTCTAGCTATGTCAGAAAAAAAAAAGGGTTTATATACATAAGAAAACAAAAGCACCGGATTGATCGGTTATATCATTTGAGTAGTTGTTCTGCTGCAACAGTATAACTTTTTACTCTTGAAAAGATTAATGGAGGATATGCATGCCGATCATTAACTACATCAAGTAGTGTCGAACGTTCTTCACCTGTTCGTCTATACAAAACAAAAAAAAAACAGTAATTTTATTTCACAAAAAAAAAACAATAATAATAAAATCTTACTTATTAGTAAATTTAATTTCATAATGTCTCCATACAAGTTGATGATGTTTTTTCTTTCCAGCGTCACACATTTCAAATTCCTAGAAAAAAAAAAATATATTTTTTTTTATTAAATAATTCAATCAAAATATTTTTACCATATTCATTGTTTGTTCAATATCAGATGTTTGTAAATCTTTACCACCACGTCGTTGAGTACTACTTATAGTTGAAGTTCGTTGAGTAGTACGTTTTGCTACAATTAATACCTATAAATATAAGAAAAAAAAACAAAAAAAAATTAAATTTATTCATAATAATTTATATTTACTCGATTATTTTGTAAACGATAATTTCCATAAATAAGTGTTTGATCACGAATTGAATATCGACTTTTTAAACGAGCAACTGTTATACGAGGTTCATCAGCTATTTATATATATATAAATTTATAATTTTCTATATTATTATATTATTTATCTTACCACTTGTATATATTAAAACAATACCTATATAAAGAAAAGAAAAATTTTATTTATAAAAAATATATAGAAAAACAAACCATCAGGAAAAAATCTTATATATCGATAATATTCAACAAGATGCCATGGTGAATAAAATGTATCTAAAGATTGTTCACCTTGACGAATATATGTTGCTCGACTAATATATACGCCTAAAATATATATATATATATATCGATTAAAATTTACACTATAATAAAAATTCAATGATCTAATAAAAAAATGTTAAATTTTTGTTTTCTTTTTACCATTAAAAACAACATGTGGTCTATTAATAAACATATGACGCCAATTAATATTTACTGATGAATTTCCTGTTTGAACACCCCATGTTTTAAAACAAATCATTTTCCATAATTGAGGATCTCGTGCACATATATAAAAACCTCGACATACACGTGCACATTGTTCTAATGAACGAATATCTAAATCTGATGAAATAACCCAACGTAATATATAAATTAATACTTCCGATGGAAGACTTGATATATGTGTAGTCTAGATTGAAAAAAAAAAACTTTGATTCTAATCGAATGAAAACAACAAGAAAAAAATTTATACTTGTTGAGGAAAATTTTTAATACATATAGATGAAAGTTCACCATCATCCATATGAATACGTTGTAAAGAATCAATAAGATCATTATCATTTTGTTCAGATACTTCATTTGTATTATTATCTTCATCGATATTTTCTCTATATAAAAATAAATTATTATTTATTGTAAATAAAATATTTTAATATACTGTCGATTATTTAAATCCATTGTTGTTATTTGTTGTTGTTGTTGTCCTTTTCGAGCCATACGAAATTCAATATCCGGTACTAATTGCATAGCTGCTCGATAATATTTAATAGCTAAAAAACAAAAAAAAATTATTTAGTATATCGATAATAATTTATTCATTTACCATCATATAATTTTCCTTCACGTTCTAAATCAGAAGCACGTAGAAAAAAATGTTTAGCCTAATGATATTACAAACATATTTTATTGAATATAATACTATAATTTTTGTTTTGTTTTACCTGTTCTTCAACATTAATAGGTTCTTGTTGTTCGTGTTCTTGTTGTTTATCATTAATAACATGTCCATAGACAGTTCGTTGTTGAATTTCTTTTTTCCATTTATAAAGAAATTCATCTAATTGATGTTCAATACGTCGTTCATTAGTACGTTGTTCACTTGTTTCATATTCACAATCATCACTATCACGATCAGAATCCTATTTTAAAATAATTTAATAATCAAATATAAATAAATATTTATTACCATAGTTAAAGAAAAGATTATTTAAAGATCACGAAAAGAAAATTGAATAACTGAATGATATAATTTTGCTCGACGAGCACCAGCCATTACATGAAAAAATAATCAAAATTACAGAATAAAATGTACTTTTACCTTTAATATAAATATTTATTACGAAATTTTAGATTAAATCCATATTTTACCTAATTTATTACTGACATCTATAAAAAAATAGCATTTTTTTTTTCGCGCATGATGAAATTACTGATGTAAATTTTCTTAACAACGAGAACATTATGATGAAATAAATTATTTATCAACATTTTCTTCAATGAGGTCACTACTGAATGACAAAATTGAGTCTCACATAGTGTATGTTAAAAGTAAATTGGTATCGAACTCATAGTGCTGAAGAAAGATCTAGTTGTACTTTTTTTTTTCAAATATTAGTAAAACAACCAAGAAAAACACTGGCGCAATAAGATTGTTTCTCTTTCTTCTTCATCCCATATTAATTGACCAATGTGTGACAAAAATATCAATTATAAACTGTTCGAAAGAGGAGATATTACTTTTTGTATTGTATAATACTTATGAACGGTAGATATTCAACTTTCAAGTTATAAAATTAACTTATCTATTCTTAATATTCGAAAATATCAAAATTTTCTGAATTTAAAGTAATAATAATATGTTAACTTTTTCTTTCTCTATTATAAATTTACTTAATAATTTATACATTAAGTCAATTTTTTTTCAAAATCTATAAGCAAACAAACAAACAAAAAATAAATAAATAATTTTCGCATAATTTCTTTTCTTAAATTTGTTTTAAATGAGTCTTTAATTGTAATGAAGCTCTAGGACGTTGAACAAGATTCATTGATGTTTTCATTGGTTGTCGTTTAAAACGTCGAAAAACTACAGCACATTGATTAACATATTGATCAATAGAACCATCAGGATCATGTGAAAATATAAGTCTTTTTAAATGTGGATATAATGGTTGTGGTAAACATGGTAAATCATAATAAAGTATATCGGCATGCCATATCAATAATGTTATACATAAACCAAGAAACATATCAACAGAATAATGATGAAATTCAACAATAGCTCGAATCATTCGTTGTACAACTTGAATCCATATAAATAAACGTATTAATAAACGTAATAATCCAAATGGATATAATGAACAAAGAATTGTTACAGCTAATGCTGATATTGTATAAACAATAACATGACCACTATATAATAAATCATTACATGCACCACCTAAAAACAAAAAAGAAATTTACATAATAAAAAAAAAAATTATTGACCTGGACTTAAATTGAATGGATTAATTGGTCCAGTAAAATTACATTTTGGATTTGGATTAGGTAAAATAGTTATTGAAAATGTAATAACACGAAGTGCTCGTGCTATAGTTAAACATCGTACACCTTTTTGTAAAACTTTTAATCCTTTTGGTCCATGTAAAAAACAATAAAAAATCCATAAAAATAAAACACTATTCGTATCAACTTGATATGTATTTTCACCAATATAAGCAAAATCAACAAATTTTCTATTAACATTACTTAAATATTCTTCAGCTAAATCACGAAGTGGTGTTCGATTATGTTCTAATAATGATATAACTTGTATCATTGTATTTTCTGTAAGTAATTCAATACCCATAAATAAAAGATCACGTATAGATTTAAAAGCATATTTAGCTATTTCAGGTGTAACATGATCATACCATAAATCTTTAAAACCATTAATAATAAATATTAATGAAAATATATTTGGTTGCTCATATCGAGCTTGTTGATAACGACGATGAGAAAGGATAGGCATATATGTATTGCTTGTGGTTGCGCATCACCAATTTAACATTTTTCTATCAATGCAAAAAAAAAAAAAAAAAAAAAGAACAAATCAATACAGGTTTATGCAATGCACGACACACGTACATACATATATATATATATATAAACGGAGGCAATGATAATGATCAACGAAATTGTACCAAACATACCGTTGACTATTTGTAAACATTGAACAATGTTTGATCTCTTTCTTTTTCTTTGTGTATTATATATCCGAATTATGTGTACAAAGTTTGTCATCAATACTAAAATAAATATCATACTCATAAAAGAAAGAAAACATACATACAAAATTCATTTTTGAAAATTTATATTAACTTTCACTATAGTTTAGACTTTTTTATTTTGTTTTATTTGATAGATTAATTGAAAATTAAAATGTATTGTTTTGTTTAAATATATGAGATAATTTTTGGAATCATTTGAGCAAAATTTCTGACTAAAACGTTGCTTATATATGAAAATTGTCTATATCATTTTAGAGATAATAATTGTATCAATACTATTAATCAGTAAAATAAGTTGAAAATGTCGATCAGAACAAAAGCAACTTAACTTACATACTTTCTATTGATTATGAAGATAAAATAACTGAAGGAAAAATTTATAGGAAAGGAACATTATTTCATTCTCACAATAATTAATCATCAACTTTTTTTTGTTATCATCATAAGCATCATCGGATAAAGACAATCATACTATGCAACTTGACCAATCGAATACTATTATTAACAAACCTGTGATAAAAAAAGATCTATTACTACAGGTACATCAATTCGAGAGTCTATGAACTTTTTCATTTTAAGTCGCTACATTTTATGAAAACATCATCATTATAAAGAGAAGAAATTTGTTTTTCAACATATTCAAAAGAGGATAATAATTGTAGTATGGATACTATGTGAATATTATTTATCCGATGGCGTAGACTAATGTTTTTTTTTTCTTTTTGAATAACTTAATTAACGTTGAATTTTCAAAATGATCGGATCATGTTAGATTCATTACCGTAGTCTTTCATTGTAACACACCGCTCTATTAAAAATATGATAGGTGTTAACAATTATTTTACTTCTTGTTTCGTTTCAAAAGGTCTCTATCAATAAGACACAGCAATTTTGTCATATATGTTCATTTAATAATTTGTCTAAATTCGAAAAAGTTAGTTCCTGTAGTATGTAAGAATGATAAAATTTGAAATTGTTTTGAAACTAATGAATATTATTTGGATAGAAAAATGAAATATGATATTTTCTTAAAAATTATTGATGATAGTATAAAATAAATAATTGTTAGTCAAAATCAAAAAATATTTGAATGAACAAGTAATATGTATTCATAAAAAATCATAGTATACAATACTATGAAGCATAAAACTGCATAACTTCTCGTATATTCATATGTAATTTTGATTTTCTTTATCATATGATACACTTCATAATCGATTTATTTTTGTTGTTAGACTCATAAATAATAAAAAGAATGATATATTTTAACTAGCAATACTCTCGATTACTTATTCTGTTTTTGGCATCAGCTGCAATGAAAAGAACATTTTAATCAGTATTCTTCGACATATCTTTTTAGAAGTATCTATTTGCAACGGATTCAAGAGTTACATTTTGATCACGTGATGACTTTGGTATTTTTTCATTATTTCTAGATTCAATTCTTTTTTTATACAATTATTATCTTAGAGTCACCGTATTCTTGAAACATAATTTTATTTCTCATTTTTCAGTAGTAACTTTAATTTGGATACTATGTTTCTTAGTATTGTTGTTAAATGAAGCATTGTTGATTACAATAGATTAATATGATTTATGTCTTTTTCTTTTGGATAAAGATGTCATATTTATAGTATACATATGACATTGTTTTTTTCTCATTTATCATAGTAAATATCCTTCATCTTCAGTCGTATTCTACTTTATCTGAAGTTATATGAAATTACATGTATTTCTATTGTCATTTTTTTTTTCTATGCTCTTGTTTACTTCATGAATTGTATGAAATCAATGAACGGAAATGGTCTTATTAATATATAGCACAAGCTACACCTAAATTACAAGAATCTTCTCTAAAAACCAAACTTTGTGCCATAATGTCCCTCAGAATATTCTTTTTCTCTTGTATCTCGAAGAAAAAAACAATACTGAAGTATACACTTATCTATCTGATAGTAGTAGCTATTTTTTTTTCCTTATTGAAATTTTTCGTTAGATATTTTACTATTCACAAAAGATAATTTAAATATGAATCAAACATAAAAATTAATTCCATTTAATTATGTTCAGATTTGTTAAGCATAATACATACAAAAGTATATTGATAGATATAGTATAGAAAAAGTGTGTATTGAAGTACGTATCACAAGAAACATTATTCACCACGCATGTCACAGCTGTTCTATTGTTTTCGAATGTATTTATTTAAGAGTATTTTGAAAAAAATATATAGAAGTATTTAAGTTGATTTATTTATTTTTTTATTCAAATAAAATTCAAGTGAGAGATGCGTCGATCAATTATTTTGTTTTTTGCTATCGTATGTCTTTTATTTATAACTGTTAAAGCTGACAGTATTCAAGGAACTGCTAATAATAATGGAAATAATCCTTCGTTATTAAATAAAGTAATTTTAACACGTGGAAAAGACAAAAAACAACCTCCTCAAATTCTTCCTGTTCAATCTAATTCTACTCAAACTGCTCAGAAGAGTGTACCTGTGAAAGACAATCAAACTTCAGCAAATAAGATCTCCAACTCAAGTAGTGATTCACAACCCTGTTGCGGTACTGATACAAAAACGGGAAAGAACAATGTTGAAAGTGAAAGTGAAACTATAGAAAGCAGGGTATTCGAAACTGAAGAAGTCGTGGTTGATGATGTTCCAACAATAGTGGAATGGTAATCATTAACATCAATCTATGTAAACATGTTATCAATGAATAATATGTATTGTTTATCTATTTTAACACTGATTTTATTTTACAGTAACTTGTACATCTATTCGTGTCGAGTTTACTATATCAGCAAACCCTATGTTTTTCCCCTTTTTTCTTCATTGCCAGAATAATAAACATCAATAAATTATTTTGAGACTGATGTCTCACAGAAGAAGACGTTTAATTATCTTTTTCTTTTATTAACATAGTTACTATTCTAATTAGTTGATAGTTGTTATTTTTGGTATAGAAAACATCAAGTTTATGAATGTTCATGTAATAATCATCTGGAAAAGATATTTTAGCATTGATATATATATTAAATTAAGTAAGTTTACATCCGTCATTATTGTGCCATATGTTTTTCTCGTTTTTGTAATATTTCTGTTGATTATTTTCTTTCCTTGACCGTTCTTTCTTATAATATATTATACATTTTCTTTAATCAACATCGTATCTACATGTTTCTTCATCTACTAGACAGTCTGATTACGAATGAATGAAGTTCACATCTTATTTATAGGTGTCAACTTAAATCATGTTTTTATTGCATTCAAACACGAGTATATTTGTATAGTTTATATTAAACATTCAGTATTTCATGCGTTTACAATCAATAGTTCAAAATAAATGCGTAGCTCTATGAGAATATGCTTTTTTGTTAAAGATTTGGACTGAAATTTTTGAAAGATAGATGTTTCGCATAGAATTATGTAGAACAAATTTTGTTCCTACTCTGAATCCCGTTGACTGACTGCACAAGATACGGTAGTCGAGCTATTGCTTTTCATTCGCTTAGTTACTTTTTCGGAAGCTATAAAAATGCGGAAACATGATAATTAACAACGGAGAATGTCCTTATATGATTTAATCTCTGTAAATGTCTTATTGTTACTCTGCGTCGAATAACACATAGAAATATATATATCAGTGATAATTGCAAGACGAAAGCGAAAAATGATGTATAGCGACATCTATAAAGAAACAGTTCTGTCGATTATGATAGTTTTTCACTACATTTTTCGATGAGAAAATAATGAAAGAATAAATTGAATCGTAAAGAATATTTTACATATTTTCAATGGTCACAATGTTTATGCAATAAAAATATATATTCGAAATATAATGAGTCATACTCTAGTATCATGAGTAGACGAGGATCAATAACTCAACCCTAAATCATGTGGTAGGGTTTGATTGATTACATTTTATGTAGAAGAAAAATTGATCAGTAAAGTGAATAAGAAAAAGAAAAAAATTGATGCTTAATAATATTTTACTTTATTCTTGAATAATTTATATTTAAGTATTACTTGCACTTATTTTTTCATACTCTAAAACCTATTTTCCATTACATTACTCAAATATTATTTGTATCAATAAGATTACTCTAACTTTATATTTTCTACTCAATAACTTTCTTTTTTTGTTATGTAGATATAGACGTAAGAAGATGCATAGTCTTTATTATCTATTCTTCATTCTCTGTTGACGTATTTTACTAAATTCATTTTGACACAAATGGTTCTATTAATATTTCCCAAGCAATTTCTAAGTAATAAGTTGAGATGATAATTAATTATGATTGAAAAGATTTTTATACAATTTATTATCATAACAAATAATTGTTAATATTTTTAAATGAATAGAAATAATTATTTATCTACTATGGAATCATTACCAAATGAAATTCTTATGGATTTATATCAATATTTCGATGGTCAAGAACTTTATAATACTTTTTATAATCTTAATTCTCGTTTTAATTCTCTTGTTCAATCTTTATCACATCTTTCTCTTTATTATCAATCATCTTTTAATAATATAATTAATTATAATATCATATTTTCATCTCAAATTTATACACTTAATATTTATACAAAACAAAATATAAAATTTAATCAATTTTTTAATGTTCATCGTTTTATAATATGGTTTCCAACTGATGAACAAATTTTTCAAATAAATTCTAAATCTTTTCCATATCTTGAATATCTTTCTATATCATATTCACTTGTAAAACCTTCAATTTATTCATTATATCAAATAATATTTTCTAATGGTTTTCCATTATTAAAATCTTGTCTTTTATCTGGACAAGAATTACCAATTGATACAATTATATGGAATCAATCATTAAATATTCAATATTTAAATATAACATCTATATCTCCAAATATATTAAATGCATGTCCAAATTTATATTATTTAAATTTAGTATTACCAACATTATGTAATATATCGAAAAATTTTAATATTTATTTTAATCTTAAACGAATGAAATTAATTTTAACGAGTATTGTTTGGTTTGAAAATGAAAAAAATTTTGAAATACTTTTTTCATCAATGCCAAATATTGAACGATTATCTTTACATAAATTATTTTCTATAATAAATTCAATTGATTTACTTCTTAATTATGATTGGTTATCAACAATTATAAGTCATTATTTACCATTATTAAAACAATTTACTTATTATATTTATATTTTTAATTTACTTGATATAGATCAAATAGATATTGATCAAAATATTCCTCAAATAAAAGAAAAATTTTCGAAAATTTATAAAAATCAATCTGAATATTATCTTAAAATAAAACAATATAATACATAATATATTTTTATTTTCTAGATATGCTTACTTTATTAGAAGATTTACCAAATGAATTAATAATGGAAATATTTGGTTATACAAAAATTTGTGATTTATCATGTGGTTTTTGGAATTTAAATCAACGTTTTAATCAACTTATCCGTTCACTTAGATATTTATCTTTAATTTTAACAAAAAATCAAACATATGAAAATATGTTATTATATGAACAAATTACTCGTATTGTTATTGTTACACTAGAAAATATTAATTTATATTCATTTATTAATTTACGTTCATTAATATTAAATTTAGCAACTGAAAATCATTTAAAACAAATTCAATCTAATATTTTACCGAATCTTGTTTATCTTGCATTACCTCTTTCATTTGATAAAAAATCCACAATACAATTAGCATCTGAAGTCTTCTCAAATCGATTTACATCTCTTCGTTTTGCTGATCTAGGTATAATTGATATGCCAAGTAATTTAACATGGTCACAATCACCATCTCTTCGCTCAATTCGTATTTTTTCTCCTAATATAAATATAATTCCTTTAATTCTTCAATCATGTACTCAACTAATTCATTTTCAAGTACGTATTACAGATGAAAATCCTTTAGATGTATCTTCTTTACCAGTAATATTAAATCATCCATTAAAAAAATTAATTTTTTTACAATCTCAAAATTCAACATATGTTTATGATATTACAAATATAATATATTTAATCCCAAATATAAAATGTATAGATTTAAGATTATGTACAAGATCATTTATTGATTTAATAAAATTAATATCAATATATTTAATTGATTTAAAAAATTTTGATTGTCACATTATTGAATTTCCAAATAAAGATGAAAATATTGATATTAATATAATAAGAAATATTCATCCATGTTATTCTGGTATTCAATGTACATTAAGAGAAGATTGTTTTTGTTTATATACATCAAAAAAAAATTAAGAATAATAAATAAGAAATGAAATCTTTTATTTTTCTTTTTGTTTGTGAATTTATTTATTACTAGAATGAAGATGTATGACATATTTAGTACATTTTTTTTGTGTGCTGTGAATATATATATTTTTTTATGGAAACAAATCAAAACTGTTTTTTTTTTGTATAGTTTTTAGTTAGATAGGGTTTTTTAGATCTTCCTTGTGCTATGTGAGGTTTATGATTTATACATCTGAATTTTTTATTTATAGTAAACAAGCTTTTTCTTTTTTTTTTTTTACAGAATTCTTATTATTCTTATATATTCTTAATAGAAAATAAAATTTTCTTTTTAGTTTTGTAGATATAAATTTTTTGTTTTATTGTAAATAATGAATGCTTTAATTAGATAAGAAGATTTATCTAATGAATTATTATTTGCTATATATTTAAATATATTCGTGCTTGAACATCGTAGAGTTTTTATTATTTTAATTATTGCTATAATTGTTTTCGTCTACTTATTCAACATTGTCTATGTTTCTATGGCTATTAAAAGATTATAATTATGATGAATTATTTATCCTTCACGTATTTTTTACATTAGTGATATATAATTATATTTTTCTGTTTTTATTTTATCTCGATATATATATTGCTGTCCGCCTTCTAATTCTCTTTAATTCCAAATGTCACCAAATAATGATTGAATGATCTTATTTAGGATCTATTTCATTTATGTCAACACGACGTTTTTATACAAAATTTGGTGGCCATGAGATGGTTTTGTCAAGCTTACATAATATTTTTCGAAGAAAAATATAGTGAATGGAAATTTTAAGTCAAGGTTTTTCTGGTTTCCTTCCTCTTTTTATATTAGCAGTACCAGAAGAGACGTCAAGGATCATTGGGTACGTTTTCATAGCAGTCAAGAAGAACACGCGTCTGACACTTTTTCTCAGACTTCATTAACGATGGAAAAGGACACGGAAAGATATTAACAAAAAGACTTAGTCTATTCTAGAATGTTTCATGGTATTCCTCTAAATTATAATGATTGGAATGCGTCTGTAAGTGTTCTAAGTAGCATAGTTTTGATTTTTGGACAGATAAAAATTTTATATTCAAACTGTCTAGAGTGATGATGAGTAGTAATGCATTAGTTTACTGCAGTCACCATATGATCAGCATAAAAAAAATGTAAACTGGTCTATTTATAACATTAGTAAATAATTAATATCAGTGTCTCTGAGCTTATTCAGATATATAATAGTGTATGTTGAGACTTTCTGAAGTTGTAGTGGAAAGAGACTTATCTGCCATACTTTTTGTTAAAGATCTTTGATTTTAGTAAACGATGAGGTTCTATTAAATTGTTATCTTGCAGAAGAAAATATCGAATCTTACTTTTTTTTAAATTATTTATCGGATTCATTTTTTCATACTATAAAACAAATCATGATCTTTCAAAAAAAAAAAATTCACATTGGAGTACAGTCACTCTTCATGTTTAACATAATCTTATGTATTTGTGCTTTCAACTGAAATGTATTGATTACAGACAGAAGAAAACGAACGGGATAAATACTATACAATACTACTATTCTTGTAAATATATCGAGTTCAAGGTACGCGTGTACTAGAATACTTTTCATCAGAGCTCTCGAAAAAAGTATCCTACTAGGAGTATGTAGTAAGGCTTTGACCCATACGTGTCTAGTTTCTATAGCATTAAATGAACAACGAGAAAACTGAGTTTTGAAGTTCGATTTTTTGATTGCACAAATTTTCAAATAAGAACATTGATTTTCTTCTTTTTAGATAAATATTAAATAATGAATAACAAATATTCTCAATTAGAAATGTTACCAAATGAAACATTAATTGAAATATTTCAATATCTTGATATAGAAAAACTTTTTCGAGCATTTGATAATCTTAATTTTCGTTTTAATAAACTTCTTCGAACTTTGAATAATCTTGTTTATTGTCTTTGGGATGACAATTATATTAAAATGAATAATTTTATTTCTTATATCGATGTTCTTAGTATTAATTGTCGAATCAATATTAATTTTAATCATTTTACAAATATTCGTTGTTTAAAACTTATATCATTGACAGATGAATTACTTGTACAACTCAAAACTTCTATTCTACCTTGTATAGAATATTTATTTATTAAACAATTAAATTGTCACTCTCCAGATATATTTTATGACAAAATTTTTACTAATACTTTTCCTCATTTAAAATCTTGTTATGTATGCCACAAGAGTAAAATAATCGTAAAAGAATGGTTCGTATGTCTTCCTGTTCTATGCAACTTGAAAGTTGGTATCATTAATCTATCTACCTATGTAACTATTCTATCCAAATGTCCTAATTTGAATATTTTCAAATTTCAATTAGAATCGAGTGAAACATCCATTGTTGATAAACCACATGTTAATCTCAAACAAATGACAATAAAATTTGAAGATATTAATCTACTAAAATATGATTCAATGATTAATACTTGTCTGTCATATGTATCTAATCTTGAACGACTTAGTATTTATCAAGATTTTTTTAAAGTAAATATTCTACATTATTTAACAACGGATTGGCATGCATCATCAATTGCGAATTATTTATCATTACTTCGTCGATTTGATTATTATTTTAAAGTTTGGTATCTTATTGGAATTGATACACAAGTTATAAATACTTTTGATGAAATGAAAAGAAATTTTAAATCTAGTCATAATGATCGATATCAATCAAAATTTCATTTAAATTTAACATGTTAATGAATTTTTTTGTTTTTTATGTAAACGAGAATGCAATTGTAATTTTGACTTTGTTTGTTTTTTTTTAGATAAATTCCAAATAAAAAGAACAGTATTAATCTATTTCGATTTGTATTGTTATCGAATGAAATTCTTATCTGAAGACTATTAATACGTTTTCCATTGATGAATATTACAGTGCATACGGTACCATTATATTTCTTCTATTACTTCGATCTTCGGAAACAAACCAATTTCATTGGTACCTATCGAATAGACGCTTGATAATCATCGTATCTGGTAGGAATACAACAGGAGTCAATGAAATTTCGAAACAGCACGTTTTTCAAATTTTCGGTGCCTTAGTATAGCACTGGTAAATGATAAATTGTCACACTAACGTCATGCTGATATCCTAATGTTTACACCAGGATTAAAGATGGATGAGTATAAGTTCATTTACTAGACAATCGCAAGTGTCGATCTTCGCAAAAGATCGAAAAAAATCCATAAAAATAGTGTTTCGCTTTGATGTAATTTTAATTTTAGCATATGTTTCACACCTATAGCTCAAGACGCAATTAATGCGATTATCTTTTCACATCTCAGTATTAAGAAAACAAAATTACGCAGGTACTCAGACAAATTCTATAGAATTCTGTTCATTTTTATGAAAAAGAACATTATTTTCATACATGTTTTTTGAATTGTTTGCGAAGATGATTAGTTTTAATATAACTTTGTCTTATATAGTCATCGGGTAAAAAAATTCATTAGATTTCATTAATACTTAACATAATGAAAATCTTTTCATTTACTAGAAGAAATGTCAAATGAGTATACAGAAACAGTATATTAAAATGCTGTCGCTACAAATTTCACAGGTTGGAAATATAAATTTATTTACTAATGAAATTTATTCTAACAAATATATCTTAATTTAAATTTTCTTAAGTTTATATCGCAGTTCATTGAAATCTCGTCGTAGTTAAAGTGTTAAAAAGACATGCATGAAACATGAAGTCTTGCTCGAGGTGAATGTTATAGATTTTTATGATTCATCTACATTCTGATGGTTGCATGTTTAATAAAAATATAGTTCTTTTTCATTGATCACGTACCTACATTCAAACATATGTGATTTTATCACAAACAATACAGCATGACATTGAGATTGATATATGAAACATGCACATATACTCCCATATAACAGATGAGTAAGACGATCTAGTCGATAGTTGATTACTGGCACCAACCATTTTTGATTAATCGAAATTATATTTATTAAGAAGCTAGAAAAAAATTAACTGCATTATGATCAATAATTCGAAATTAATTACTACTAGTATGATTAGAAAAGTCATTTTAACCATGGTATTTATATTTGCATGAAACGTTGCTAATTGTCTTAAGTTCATGATTAATGCGAAAGTTTAATTTTTATTTATTCATGCATCATAATAATTGATTTCAATATTAACTTATTAATAAGTGACTAATGATTTATAAAAAGAATAGTTTACATATTTTTCTTTTGTTTTTGTTTTTAGATTTCGATTAAAACAAATGAGCCATAATTTTTCTCGATTAGAACATTTACCAAATGAAATTCTTGTTGAAATATTTGAATATATTAGTACTCAAGATCTTTTTCGAACTTTTTATAATCTCAATTATCGTTTAAATACACTAATTCAATCTCTTCATAATCATTATCTTTCACTTACAACAACAGATTGTAATCAAATTTATCGTTACAATTTTATAGCACCATATGTTAATATTCTATGTATTGAAGGCCGTGCACAATTAAATTTAGAATCTTTTACAAATATTCGTCGTCTTATTCTTATACAATCAACTGATGAACTTCTCGAACAAATTGAAAGAATTCATATGCCATATTTAGAAAATCTTGTTATACGTTCAGCAAATCGAAGAGAAACTGATTTTATACCGTTTTACTGGAATAGAATATTTTCATATGATTTATCTTATTTAAAAATTTGTTGTATGCATAATATCAGTTTAACATGGACATATTCATCTTGGAGAAAAATGTTATCATTATGTATATTAAAAATTGGTGATATTGATATACTTGTTTATGGATCAATTTTATTAGCATGTCCAAATTTATATTTTTTTAAATTTACAAGATTAATATCAAATAATAAATCAACTAATATTATTCAACATATGAATTTAAAAAAATTAGTTATTGTAATACCATGGTTTGAAGATCTTTCACAAGATTATTCAATGAATGATTATTTTTCATATGTACCAAATTTAGAACAACTTATTATTCATCGAACAAATGATATTAAAAGTATAAATGAATCTTATTTACAATATGATTGGTATAGATCATCGATTACATCATATTTACCATTACTTTCTCATTATTATTATTATTTTCATATATTAAAATCTAATCGATTGAATAATTTGGCTCATCAAAATATATTTAATCGAATTCAACAACGTTTTAATAATATTCATCGTCATTTATATCAACGACGATTTATTTTTGATTTTATTGGATGATAATCATTTTTATGTGAATTCTATTTTGTGATTCAATGCGATAAGACTATCTAAGCAAAGTAAACCTTCAATATATGTGATGATTATATACATGAATAAAATAAGAGATATGCATCGCCTCTAACAGCAAGTATGATTCATTTCTTTTGACTGCCGCACCTTTTTTTTATCATACATTAATAGAATTCTTTTTAAAAAACATTTACATAAAAATTAATCATTAACACATTAGTTTTTGTAAGACATAATCTAAAACGAGTGCTGACATTTATAAGAAGAGATTTTGATCCAATACACTTCGCGCTTCCTTTGCAAACATTACTGATATATTATTTATAATATATCAACTATTTTCTTATTGTATTTCTTAACGATGAAGTAAAAAGATGATGAAGAAGCTCATCCCAAAATACATAGAATAAAGCAATCGTCCGATGCTTAGCTACGGCAACTATATTCCGTTTTAAATCTCATCAGGATTCCACTAACAGTTTGATATTCATTTGTTGAATTGTGGTTCATTCTTAATTTTTCAAGAAATATCATAGTGCAGTGTTGTTGCTATTGTTACTTACAGAGAAATCGTTTTATTCAATCTATTTTGAGATATATTTTTTCGCCATCAATATTACTTAATACTACAGAAATGTAACAAGAAGATAGCTCATATATTATATTATCATTGTGCGTGACAGCTAGAAAATCACGCCATCTTCCATCTTATCTTTTAGGTGCGATGCACATCTCTGAAAGAAATCCTCATTATGCTGAAAACCGTCTTTCATGTTTTTAAATTGATGTATTTTGGAATATTGAAGCGGTGTAGTCGTGAGTTTTATCAATATTAATAAAGCAAAAAGATTTTTCATGCTAAGTGTTTATTTTGTGCATTTATGTATTGAGAATGTATTAATTAGATCTTAAATTTTACCATACTGTTGAAATAGTAAAGAACCTCATAGCATATTATTTGTGAATTTGAATAAAAGACTTTTATTTTTTTTCTTTTTGTTTTTAGATTGTTATATTAACAAAAACATATCGATTAGAATGAAATTCTTCTTAATCGGTTTTTTTTAATATTTCATTACACAAAAACTGTGCTTGCATCTTGCTTGAGAAAAATAATTTCCTCTTTCACAATAACAGACAAAAGCCTCCGACGTTTTTGAATTTAGATATTTATTTAATGATTATAGTCAACTCATATTTTCTTCGATTTAAAATATAAATCAAAAGTGATAGGAGCGACCATATGATTTAAATTCGACAGTGATATAAGCTATGCTTACTATTATCTACAGCAACCTTCGTTTATTATTGATCTAACAGAATAATTATGTTTTAACGGTTGGGTTCAAGCGGTTTATTTTTGTCGTTGAATTATTTATTCTTCGTTCTATTCAAACTACTTTGAAATAGATGATGATGAAAACTGATAAGTTTATTTTGATTATATTACGAGTGAAGACTATTATTTTGCAATTTATGATATCATACATATTTTATGACTTCAAGTTTCATTCATATTGATTAATTTTAAGAATATATCAATAAACACCAGGTATTGTGATTCATTATTTCTCACAGATAGACAAAATATGCATCACTCATTCATTTTGTAAGAAGTAATGATTAAAATGAAAGATTGATTTATTTGAAAAATTTCACAAAATTTTTCCATTATTCCATTAGAAACTTGTTTGAATGTGTTTACCGTTTCACAGACTTTTTTTTATCATGTTTTTTCTTTGTTCATTATTATTACTCACTATAAAGTTCATGGATGACGTACTACTATATTTTAACATTTTGCCTGTACGTTGATTTACCTTTCCTTACTGAATCATACGACATATAAATGGTCGTATTAGACTCAGTTACAATATTATTCAGCCTGGAAGCGATGAACATATACGCTGCTACATATTATTGTGTAATATGTGGCGTTTGCTTTCAATGTTATATAAACGCACTATTTTCGTCCACTGTAAACGTAACGTATTTGTATCATCCTATAAAATGACCTCATACAATAGCCGTTAGCATGCTATAACTATACTGTATATTATAGAAGAATCTCCCATTCATAGTTTGCAATCATGCAATGGCATACAATCAATAGCTTCTATCGATTTATTTCAAATCGCTTGTGACTCATGTTTTACGACGATCACTATTGACGTCATTATTACTTCTACTATGTAGACACATATGACTTTTTCTCGAATAGTACGTATTACGTTTAAAAAATAAAATAAATTAATAATTTATTTTGTTTTTTTTTTTTTTGTATTTCGATTAATCATAACAATTGCATTTATAAGTATTATTTTTTAAAAACAAAAAAAATTATTTTATTTTGATGAATGAAGAGAAAACAAAGGAAAAAAAAATAATCACCTTTCGTCTCTCATTGACAAAAGACGCATGTGAGTATGATAACACGTGATATTATATTTTGTAATGAC